ATCTACACAAAGCCTCCAGGTGGAATCCTTCTTCTTCACCAAAATTACTGGTGAAGCAAAGGGGCTCTTGCTATCTTTTATTATGCCAGCTCCCAACATTTCATTGACAATCTTCTCTATCTCTTGCTTATGACTATGTGATGATCTATAAGGGAACTGGTGCTTAGGAATGCTGTTGGGCTTCAGCAAAATTTGATGTTCCACACCCCTACTAGGAGGCAGCCCTTTGGGTTCTTGAAAAATAGCCTGAAATTCTTCCAGTAACATTTCCACCTCAGAATTACATGTCAGGGTGTCTGGTTTGTTAATTGTCACCCAATAAACCTCAGCTACCTCCTTTCCCAAGTCTTCATGTATTAATTTGTATAGAGTAGGGCCAGAGATGTATTTGCAGGAGGGTTCAGCTGTCAATGCTTGAATTTTAACCCTCTTGCCTTTCACATTCACACCAACATGCATTTTCTCATAATCTAGCTCCACAGGAGTGCAGCTCTTCAACCAGTCACCACCTAGGATCATATCACATCCTTCATTGTCCAGAACCCTCAAAGGATAGGAAAAGGTGTGACCCTGCATCTTCCATTTGAATCCATCAACTGTATGTGAACTCAACATTCTCTGCCCATTAACTACCCTCACAGCTATAGGTTTTACAGCCTTTAGAGGTAGTTGTAGCTTTTCTGTTGTGCTAGCTTGTATGAAACTTAGGGTACTGCCTGAATCAATTAAGATGTGTAATTTGTGTTCCCCAGCACCACCACACACCCTCATAGTAGTAAGGCCTACTTCACCTGTTATGGAATTCAGAGACATTTGAATTTTCTCCATTGTGTCCAAGTTTTCTTCCTCAGGTGGCTCCTCCTTCAGGTAATTCCCTTCCTCTTCTTCAGTCATCACCATATAATTGAGTCTGTGCTTGCATCTGTGACCATAAGAGTATTGTTCATCACAGTTGTAACAAAGCCCTTTGTCTCTCCTAGCAGCCATTTCTGCAGGTGTTAGGAGCCTAATTTGATTTTTCTGTGGGAGTTGGGTGTTTTTGGCTGGTGAGTTGTATGGGATTTCATTTTTCCTGGGTAATGGGTAGTTGTTTGTGTAGGGTTTGCTGGTGTTTCTGAGTTTTTTGGTGATGGCTTATAAGGTAACCAACTGCTTTTTCCCAAATCAATAATCTGTTGTAGGGTAACTGGCTGAAACATATTGATGAATGATTGCAATTCTTCAGAAAGACCACTTATGAAGCTTGCAATAAAGTATTCCTCAGTGAAGTCTTTGTTTAAACACAGCATACAGGACTTAAGTTCTTCGAATTTTTCCACATATTCCCCATAAGAGCCTGAGTGTCTGAGTTTGTTAAACTCACCAATGATTTTTGATTCCTTTAGCTCCTCAAACCTGGCAGAGATTAATTCCAAAAATTGTGCCCAATAGAGATCCCCACACTTTTGGTTGAGGTTTTGGAACCATTGGGCAGCTTTTCCCTCTAAGTGCATAGATGCAAGGTTGACTTTCTGTGTGTCAGGGATATTGGGAATGATTCTGAAGTAACTGTTGCATTTCAATATCCATGCCCTGGGATTTGTTCCATCAAAATGGGGAAAATCTATTTTGGGCAAGGGACTGAGGATATTTGGGTTTGTGTTGTGTTGTTCAGTGTAGTTTCTGAGTTTCTGCTGTTTGAATGAGGTATCTGATTTTTGTTCATTGTAAGGGCCAAAGATAGATTCCTCACCTTGCACTTTGCTCCTATCGAGATTAAGTAACTGCAATTGCATAGCAGCTAAGGTGTTGGTGAGATGCTCAAATTTGCCCTGCATTTGTGACTATATTTCTGTGTTTGCTGCCTTCAAATCTGAGCCCAACTGTGCAATTTGATCCATTCTGTGGCTTCCCTCTTAAGAGCTTCAGTTTGCATGAATTGATCCATTTTCTTTTGTGTTTCTAACAGATGTTTGCTGCGGGTACCTTCTGCCATGGCAAGATCGTGGCTCTAGATACCAAATGTTAGGCTCGATTTGTATAATTATATTTTTGGGAATTTTTTGGTATTTTATCTGTAAAATTCTGTAATTAATTGGAAGAGAATGGGGAGGGAGACGACTTAGAGAGAGAGAGAGAGAGAGAGAGAGAGAGAGAAATAGGAAGAGAGAGAGACATGTGAATAGTGCTCATTTGTTACTTGATTCTCTGACAATTTCCCCATTACATACTCCCTAGTGGGTCCCAAAATAACAAACTATTTCTAGAAACTTAATAACAATAATTGGGTTATTGCAAGTGAAAAGCCCAGCATAAAAACTCTTAGCAGACAAACCCACATTTAACATAGAAAGTGGGCCATAATAAAAATAAAACAAATGCTATCAGCTTGTCTTGAAAACCGGCCCAACACTTTGAGATGCTGCCATTTGTTCCTCTTCTTCAATTGTTACTTTCTGCTCAAAATCACCGTGAACCAACATCGCAGCAACACCATCCTCAACAGCTTCGAACCCTAATTTACCTTCACCAGTCAAATCGTTGCCCGATACAATCAAAGACTCCCCCTTTTTCACCCAAGACGCCTTATTTTCGATAAAGATTTGTCCTTTATCCTCCAAATTAGCCAAATTTAGCGTCGATGATTTCGGGTTCATGACATTACCTCCGCCATTTTGAGATCCTTGACCGCAAGGATCAAGGTTTGGAAATCGGCGACTGATGAAGGATGCATCCTCCCACGAGATCTGTGCCGGTGGTGCGCTATCCCACAAGACCAGAACTTGAGGTATCTGTTTTCCATTTCGCAGAACCATTTGTTTTCCTGTAATCGCCAGTGGATCTGCTTTGACTTGGCCTTCCTCATTTGTCTCAGGTAGCAGCGGTTTGGGTTGAGAACCAGGCTTCAACTTTCTTTTGAGCAATGAGCAGTGAAAGACCGGATGAACTTGCGACCCTTCTGGGAGAGCTAAACGGTAAGCTACTGCCCCAATTTTCTCAGTAATAGTATAAGGCCCATAAAATTGAGCAGATAACTTGATATTCTTCCTAAGTGCCACTGAGTTTTGCCTGTATGGCTGTAGTTTGAGGAAAACTTGTTCACCCACTGCAAACTGCTTGTCTTCCCTTTTTTATCTGCATAAAACTTCATCCTCGATTGGGCTTGAATTAAATTTTCTTTGAGTAGCCTTGCATGTGAGCTTCTTTCTTGCATAAACTCCTTCACCTCTGTGTGATCAGAGTCTAGGTAGGGCCCCATAGAAAATGTCTGAGGCTTGTATCCATAAAGGGCCTGAAATGGGGTCATCTTTAGACTGGTGTGGAAGTTGGTGTTGTACCAACTTTCTGCCAAGGATAGCCACTTGTACCAGTGTTTAGGATTGTGGTGTGTCATCCCCCTCAAGTAATTTTCTAAACACTGGTTGAGTCTTTCTGATTGACCATGACTTTGGGGGTGATAAGATGAGGACATGTTTAGCTGTACCCCCAACAACCTAAAAAGTTCTTTCCAGAAAAGGCTAGTAAACACCTTATCTCTATCTGAGACAATACTCACAGGCATACCATGTAATTTGTAAACTGAATCCAGGAATAGTTTAGCCACCATAGGAGCAGTATAGGGGTGGGACAAGGCCAAAAAATGGGCATATTTGGTGTATCTATCAATGATCACCATTATGACATCTTTTCCCCCTGAATTAGGTAGCCCCTCTATAAAATCCATAGCTATGTGAGTCCAAGCCTGCTCTGGTATGGGTAGAGGCTGGAGTAAACCTTGATAGAGCCCAGAATGTGCCTTACTTTTGATGCAATCATCACAACTCTGTACCCAATTCACAACATCATTCTTCATACCAGGCCAATAGAATACGTTCTTGAGTCTCATGTAAGTGCCCAAAATTCCAGAATGCACCCCATAAGATGAGTTATGCATGGTTGACAGGATAGAATTTTGCAGCTTGGTACCCTTTCCCACCACAAGCCTCCCTTTGTGCCTAATGAGACCATCCTGAACAGTGAACTTAGGATGAGAAAGAGGGTTGATAATGTTGGCACTCAGAACCTTAATGAAGTAAGGGTCTTCCTTATAACTCTCCTTTACTTCTTGAACCCAAGAGGGAATAAGAGTGGAAACAGCCATGCAATTTGTGCCATCCATTTCCCTCCTGGAGAGTGCATCTGCTGCTTTATTGTCAGTGCCCTTCTTGTACATGATTTCATAGTCTAGGCCCAACAGTTTAGTAATCCATTTCTGCTGAATTGGGGTCATCACCTTCTGATCTAGGAGGTGTTTGAGAGCTTGCTAGTCAGTGTTAATGATAAACTTATTCCCTTGTAAGTAGTACCTCCACCTTTGCACAACCATTAGTACAGCTAGGAACTCTCTTTCATAGATGGATAAGGCCTGATTTTTAGGGCAAAGCATCTTACTCATGAATGCAATTGGTTGCCCCTGTTGCATGAGCACAGCCCCTACCCCTTTGCCACTAGCATCAGTCTCCAATGTGAAAGGCTTGTTGTAGTCAGGTAAAGTTAAAACAGGAGCAGTGGACATAGCCTCCTTCAGTGCCTTGAATGCTCTGTCAGCCTCTAGACCCCATTTAAACTGGTCCTTCTTTAGCAAATCAGTAAGAGGTCTGCTAATAATCCCATAACCCCTAATAAATTTCCTGTAGTAGCCAGTGAGGCCCAAGAAGCCCCTGAGTTGCTTCAGTGTCTTGGGAGTAGGCCATTTCACCATGCATTCAATTTTTTGAGGATCAGTAGCAACCCCTTGGTAGGTTATGATGTGCCCCAAATATTCTATCCTTTCCTGGGCAAACTGGCACTTGCTCTTCTATAGAGCTGTTTCTCAAGCAGGATTGTCAACACTTGTCTTAAATGCTGTAAGTGGTCAGACCAAGTCTTGCTGTAAACAAGTATGTCATCAAAGAAAACCAACACACTCTG